AAATATTTAGGCAGAAATACCTGTCAGGTCCATACATCTATTCATGTTTAAATTTAAATTTTATACAACTTTCTTTACTGTAATATACAGTATCTCTTTTGTCCTGTTGGATTATTTCATTTTTCATGGAGAAAAGTGATCGATAGCTATCCAACAGAATTTATTTTTTTTAAATCCCCTTTCTCCTTCTATTGTATGGCTCAGTTTCAAGATTTAATTGATAGGCAGCCACCATCGCTACAACCAGTACCCTTCTAACGCAGTTCAGTCACTGACTGTTGATACTTAAAACAAAAAATTTTGAGGTTGGCTTGCTGTTTATGGAAACCAAGACACTCAGAGGTTGTATCTTTTCAGCACGCTCACTGACACCTGCCACACAACAATGTCAGTCAGTCCCAACACTATAAATCAATTAGTTACCTACCATTTGGGTAACAAAAATAACCAACCCAGTTGCGATTTTAAACATTTTAAGAATATTCACCCTGAGAACACAGAGGAAGCGTTTAAAAAAAACTCTGATATGTTTTCTCTTCATATATAGTTTTCTTCTTTTCTCTTCATCTCCTCTTGGGTACCTGGGTTTGTACCTAGTATGTGACCTCACATTTAATTTGTCAGTTGATCTGTTCATGCCACAGTCAGGTACTGGTGATAGAAAAGCCCAAAAAGGCTTGTAGAAAAGAGGCAAGCAGCAATCCACCAGGTGAGGAAAGACAGGAGTCCCCGGAACAGGAGAGGAGTGAAAATATTCTTTAGGCTTCCCAAAGCCATTGTTATTTGTACTACAGTTACTTTCATCTTTCCATCAGCAGGTGGAGACTCAGAATAAACTGAACTGGGAAGCAGACTGCTTTCTACTGGAGTGTCAGAATTCAATTCCGGGTAGATGCCCCAAGAATAATTACCTGTTAAAAAGAAATGAGTAACAGATTTTTGTAGAATTAAATTCAAGTTCCATTATTTGAATTACTCTATAGATCACTCTATAGGTCATCTTATATATACTCCTCACACACACCACAGCAAAACTCAAGTTTCTGCAACTTTTTAAATACTAACTATATTCACCTGCATAGCTTCCTGACCATACTAGTAAGCTGCTGGGGTAGGATTCACCTTACCTTTTGGCACCCTAACATTTAAATGTGACACAGGTGCCTGGGGACTTGTGAGTGCCAAGTAGGATTCGCCTCACCAGATGCAGATGTGTGCTATAGAATGGGAAGAATCACAGCCTAATAAAAGCCACTGACATTTTCAAAAAGAATGACATAGCCACGTGGAAGGCTGTGGAGAACATCCCTCATGTGAAAGGAAGAAAAGAAACTCAACAGAGAGACATCAGGTCTCCCAATAATGAAATGAACCCCATTATCTCAAAATTTCCATTCAAAAAGACTACTTTAAGATTGAAAAGCTAAACCAAAATTCCTTTAACAGATGCTCATAAGGTTAAATCAGCAACATATTATATGGCTCCCTTTAAAAATATCTTTTAAAAGACGAGTATTTCAACAGAAATAAACAGTGTAATTGGCTATATTACACAATTTTCTCAGAAATAAATCAAACAAATTAGCATGTAATTGAAAGATGTCAAAAGCAGCAACAGAAAGGGACTGCTTAAAAGCCATGTACCAATATGTTTTAAATTTTATTTCTGTACTGCAAGTACGCATACATTCTAACTCTCTTTAGTAAGCTGAAAATATAAAAGCCCTGTGTAGAAGAGAACACATTTTTGTTGATCCAATTTTGCCTACCTAGTGTTTTCAAGAGCAGAGTTGTGTGAAGAAGCATTACCAATGGTGCAACATACTGCAGTGCAATTACACAAAGATAATAGAATACCCGAGCCACCTGGGAAAACAGAAGAGAGTAATTCATGAGTTCCAGCTTATCAAAGCAAACTTTTATGAACACACCTAGGAAAAACAAGCGATTTATTAAAAAAACCAGTATTTATGCATTAAAGCTGTTTTTAAAAGTTTTCTAGCACATCTTGGCATGTTACATATTGTCAATAGACCTAATGAAGAAATTCCTATAATGAACTCTAGTTGCAGGACATGTACAAGTCTGAGAGAAAGTGCTGAAAGGAAACAATTAAAAGCATCAGTTCTGTTAAAGGGATTCAATTTTACGTCTACAAACCGCGTGCCATCATTCAGAGATTCCTATTTCAATACATCAGAATCAAAGCTAAACATGTTTAATTTTTAAAGTCCCCAGTGACTTACAAACTAAACCCCATTCTGAAAATGAAGGGGCAGTCACAGTCCAAAGTCTCATGAAAAGTACATGAAATTTGGTTAATATGCAGTCCCTTTTCAAAAGTGAGATATTTTTAAGATTTCCAGCTGTGAAACATCAATATTTTTAACATCATGACAAGACGATTTTTCATTAGTAGTTGATCAATAACAGCATTTAAACGGTTCATTGAAATCCACTCGGATTTGCCCCTCCCCCTACTCCCAATATGTTCTTTCTCAAGATTGTGACATCACATATTTTATATAAGCTATTGACCTAAAAGACTAAACCACATAAAGAAGAAAAAAGTCCTAAAATCAATAGTAAGGAAGCAATGAAATAAAGCTAACGAGATTTTAGAAAAGAACAGAAGAAGGGTTGGCAAAAAAAGATGAAGGCAGACATGACATTTTTGGAAATACCTCTAAAACCTCAAAGGGCTTTGTGATGGGCAAGCATCAAAAAACTAACATGAGAAGAAAAACCACTAAGACACCGACAGAAGAAAAAGCATGAGACAAAAAATATTATAAGAAAATTGACGGAATATGATAAAAAGAACAAACTAAAAAGTAATGATCACTGTAGGACAACAGACAGAAAAAACTTTACTGGCAGAAGTGCCTGAAGAAGATGAAACAGACATGGCTAGTAAAACAAGGCAGAATTTCAAATAGCAGCTATGGCCTTCTCAAACAGAAGATGAGAGGATACTGGATCAAGAGATTTAGGAAACACCTAACCGAGAAGACGTTACTGTTTTACAGATAGGATGAAAGTTCCCAGAACTAAAATTATGCACTCAGAGCAAACAGAACAGTTCTGTCCTAGCCAGTTGCTGCTACCTCTATTTCCTAACCTTTTTTTCTGAAGCAAACTGCTTAGCACTTTGTTTCTAAATAACTACTGCATAGTCCACTCACAAATTCCAGGTACTCAGGGAAGCCAAGAACAAGATTCTAAGCAACAGTGACAATACTAAGGGAGGAATCATTTGTTATGGGCACACTTTTAATATTCCTCCTGCAATACACCCCAACTGAACAGGATATTCAGGCAGCACTTTCTCATTACACTAGAAATATAACTTTATTTTGCAGGCAACATACAACACCGTTTTACAACAAGCTTACATATGTCTACCTCTTCAGTTCGGTGATGACATGTTTTGTTTTCCCTTTGCCACAGTAACAAGACAGTTTTGGAACTATGCTAATGCACTTGAGAGTTGTCTTACAGAATTAAACATGTCTCATATTACCCCAAAATACAACCACCTTATCTTAAAGTTTGCCTGAATTTAAAAACCACAGCTGCGATTAGGTAACCGTATTCTACCCTTCTACCTAACATTCAAACTTTTTTTTCCTTCCCCATGTTTAGCCACAGATCACCACTGGACATGTGCACTCCTCAAGATCTATTCATGTTAAACAGAAATATATTTGTAAAATATATATTTGTAAAGAACAATTCAGGAAGCGTTCTTTTATAACAGCTTCTAAATAACTTCCAATAAGCCATCTGCATAACACAGATGATTTATCTTTGCATGTTTTGGTTTGCAGAATTTCTCTGTAATGGCGTAATTTTAATAGGAGATAGTCTAGAAAGCTTCCTTCAGACTTCAGTGCTGGTGTAACAGAAGACGTAAGAAATTGGGGGAAAAAAAGTATTTGTATCAACAGAGCACTGCAAACATGAAACTTCGGTGCCGCCACACTTACCATTTTCTGTAAATCAACCATACTTATTCTGCCAGCTTCCTTTTTCATCTGATCCACACTTTTCTGGGCTAAATTCAGATACGCCTGTAAATGATGACGCATCATAGCCAACCGTAAAGCACACAACAGGATTATAATCCACAACCTCACAGTGTCAAATGTGTCTTCTGACATCCTGTGGAATAAAAAAAACACAAATATATAAAAAGGGTAATGCTGTTTTCCAAAGGTCATCTATTGCTACAGAGTTATTTGTATCATCTGTAAAGAAATCTTGAAGCACACTGTCAAAAAGACTTAATGTACAATCTACAGTTATGAAGTTCATGTGTAAGTAATATTCACAAAATATGTACATTTGCATTCTTTTATGTGGTAGTTCAGAGGTCACAGAATCACCTTAGAAGCCTATCTTAGACCTAGAAAGCAATAAAATCAGCCAATTGTATCTGTTTCAAATCTATTTGAATATTACTATTTTGAACTATAGAATAATATTGACACAGAAAATCACCTGTGCTGTTCGGTCAGTATTTATTTCACTCTTCCTGAAAATTCTTCCCCTTTTTTACGTTTCAAAGATTATAGCTATAAACTCCATATACACTTCATCTACAAAAAGATCTTAGGATTAATCAACTGGGTTATTTCTCATGCCAACGTTATTTAGACTGCTTTCAGTGAAACTACTCCTCTCCTACACCCATACCTAAGGTTCCAGAAGGTGGCAGTGAGGTCGTAATTCCACCTCCAGGAAGAACAACCGAACTCTGCCGAGGAGATGCCAGAAGATAGCAGCTTTTTGGGAATGATCACCTTAACATTTAACATTCTACAACTAATTTTTGTTCTTCTGAAATAACAAAAGCCCTTCAGAACTCAGCTGCAACTCCTGCAATGTATTTGCCAGTAGATGCTATTAAATTTTAAGTCTTTCACATTTCTATGACTTTTACAGGGTGCTACTTAGACTTATGGCTTTGTTGTCAATACACCAGAAAGAATTTTTAAAGGGAATCTTACAAAGGGATGCTCTCTTTGCCCAAAGGTGGGTTCATAATGTAGTCCTTAGCGATTGGTTTTACCCAGAGTAGAACCATAAATAAAGGTGCCAAGAAGTTTATATGTAGCAAGGTTCTGAAAGAAGAAAGGGGGGGGGGGGGGGGGGGAGGGGGGGCGAGAAGTTATTAAATACAAACAATCACCATTCTATTGAAACTGGGAGTATAGATTCAAAAAGATAAATTCAAATCACAAAATAGTTGGCAGAAAGGTAAATAAGAAAATTACTTCCCCACTTTACAGGTATGACCTGTGTTTCAACCAAACAGTACTACTACATACTGTGAAATCACACTGGTTGTGGCTTAAAAGAAGGCTCTTAGAATACCTGAAAACTCAATTTATTCCAAACAATCTAACCAAAGGAGCTACTTGCATTTTGCCATACTATATTAAAAGACAGTTGTTGAAAACTTCCTTATGACAGCGAAACACCAAACTGCACTAGCTGTTACAGTTTCAATCTAGAGTCAGCATCTTGGATAATCATGGGGAATATGTTGCTATATTACTATTTTTTTGCTTTATTAAAAGTGTACTCATTAATTTCCATTATCTATACAGACCAGGGGAAACAGTGCTCGGAGGTCAGATTTCCCAGTTTAATGAAGATTTTTACTTAGGAGCCTTGACTAAATGAAACTTGGTACTTGCATTCAATTAAAGACACTCAGACAAAAAGCCAGCACAGTTACTCCATTTTAAAAGCACTGTATGAAACTGCACAGTAAATGTAGAAGTAGTACTCTTTTTGTAATCTCTGAATACAAAACAGCAGAATTTAAAGAGAAGAGATAATTTTCTGGAGTTTTTAATTAAATTAATACTATTTCTCACTTCTGAACCCCATATCCAAATCATTTCTCATGAGTAAAATGAAATTAAAACAGTTAAAAAGACTTCAGTGCTGTAGATCTGGTGTTTTTTCTAGCCCAATGCTTTCCCCCCTAACAGAAACAGCTTGTCCATACTTCTATCTCCAACCAGAGTGCTTCTACACTATAGAAAAAATGAGGCAATCAAAAGTTGCTCTAAAGAACAGAAGATCTTCCTGATTACAAGCTTCCTAAAAACATTAAAATGTTTGCATGTCATCACCCATGTTTCTATCACTGGTTTCAGATGAAGAAACAGGCACTGCTACCTCTACTCAGTGTTGCTAGGGAACATTACAATATCAAAGAGCAGTTGAAAGTATTTCACTCACTACCTTGTGAGAGAATTTTACCCAAGCTTCTATTTATTTAAGATATCCTACTAAGTTAATGGAGTGGAATATGACAAAGGGTGGCAGGAATCCCCTTCTGTTGATTCGAAAAGAAAGAAAAGCTGGAAGACTCTTGAAGCAGGCTCTGGAAAATGAGGGAACGCGTGTGCAAATTGTACATTGGTTAAGAAGACTCCAAAACGTATGCATGAAAGGATATTGCTGCTAAAGAAAAAAAACAACAAACCAGCTATCAAAACCAAAAGGGGCACCAGATTATTTTTATACAGCTTACCCAAAACCCAACCTATATCCTATATACATAAAAGAACTACATTAATAATTTTGAATATATTAGTGAAGTGGTAGATAATCATTAATCTTTACTTTTTTTGGGGGGGTCAGTGTCCTCTCTGACTTTTTTCTTCTATGTTTTTTATGTTTGTTTTTTTGTTGGTTTTTTTTGACAAAGAGGGGTGTTAGTTTTATGGGGAGCTTGGGGGCTGTTGGGTTTTTGAGCAGACTTGGGGATATGGGGTGTTTTGTTTCAGTCGATTTTTTTGTTATTGTTGTTCAAAAGTAGAGCATGTGCTTTACTGCAGAGAAAAGCATTGTCTTCCTGCACCCAGATTTGTATCACTGACTTGTCATCCTCATTTACTACTCCCCTTTAGTCACTGTCAAACAACTGCAAACAGTCAATGACCTATTCACTGGTAAAACCACATCACTAAGGGCAAATACTCATCTCTTTAGGCCAATTAGAATCTATCCCTTGACAATAATTCTTTGTTTATAATAGCACTACCTAATTACATTGATAACTGACCAAGTTTTAACCCATGTAACATAATTTTTATATTATTTCAGCTGATAGTCAAAGTACTGGCAGATTTTTGAAAATATTTTGCTTGGTGTTGCACAAAGTTATCTTCAATGAGTTCTGACATCCTTTAAACATTAAGTTGGAGAGGATTTATTTTTCATAAGCCTATTCTAGTGGACTACCCTTTTAGTTCTTGATTAATGACCTTGTGTTCCAGAGAGTTCCTTTGTGAGCTGCTGTAGGTGATCCTGGTCCGGCAGGGGTGCTGGACTAGACGATCTTTTGAGGTCCCTTCCAACCCCTGACATTCTGTGATTCTACGAGTTTACACTTCTGCCTAGGATCTCATGTCCATGGTTCAAGGAAGATGTTGGAAAATTAGAGGATACTTGCAGAAAAAGCACAAGAAATTTTAAAATATTGAGAACTATGAAAATTTAAAACTGAGCAGTTTATTCAGCTGAAAAGAACAGATTAGAAAGTGACTCAATCACCAGTCTACACACAGACGGAAACTTAACAGCAGATACACAAGCCAAGAGCTTTGTCTTGGGTTACAATATGTAACCAAA